CCTAGGAATGGCAAATTCGAAGCCTCTGATTGGTCAGTTAGTTGGATGGTTCCGATAATACCTTTTCAGATGAGTCTTGCGTAAGACAGTTTTGTTAATGCCAAATTTTGACTGACTTAGGCAATACGTAACTTTTTGAACGTAAGTACGAAAAGTTACGTTTACTTAGCGAAGTTTCGTTAATCTCTGCCCAGATAAGTTCACCGTGTGCGCAGAAGTGAATTTTGCTCTCATGTGCTGAGTGTCAGATGAGTGCTGAGTGTCAGATGAGTGCTGAGTGTCAGATGAGTGCTGAGTGTCAGCTGAGTGCTGAGTATCAGATGAACTTAAACGCATGGCCCTTCACCAACGTAAACGCGTAACCTTTTCATGTTGTTAGTTGCCCGGGTCTGCTGCTCGGCGGCGCCTCTGGAAAGCCGGCGGCTCCGGGGGGAAGGGGGTTGGGAGCGAAGGATCCACTCCAAGGATATCGGAGAAGGATGGGAGTGACGAGTGGAATGCCGCAGTTGGTCCAGGATAAGTCGCCGACCTTGTCTTCGCCGACGCTGCATTGCGATCATATATGTCCTGTTTGCCGCGAAAAAAACCACATCCCCCAACTCGCAAAAACACATCTGAGTATGTTTGGGTCATGGCCGTCCACCTCGTGGCCACAATGGTAAATAACTTGTCACTCGTTTAAGGAGAGCGTCTGGGTATAAATAAACTTTTTTATTTACAGACGAATCAATTTGAAGCTTGGAATAGATATTTAAAACAGAAATCTAAGACTTATTAGTTCGTGTGAATTTTTCAAAAAAATGAAAGAAAACGTGAAATTCATAGAAATGACAAAAAGGGGGTACTGTAAGGGGTACTCAATCAATTAACGTGCTGAAACATCGAGAGATACAGTATATCATTCGATTCGTAAAGACCATATCTAGCGATCATCCGGTCATTTTTTCTGATTTTTTTTTAATTTTCTCCCTCTCCTAGCTCTATGTTTTTTCAATATGCAGTATGATCCAAACTATATAACGAAATAAAAAAAAAGTGACCTGATGATCGCTAGATATTTTTTTTACGAATCCAATGGTATATCTCAATGCTGTAGCTTGAAAATCATACGAAGAGATGGCATATTTTGGAAATTTTAATTGTTCAGGGGAGTCAAAAAAGTAAAATTAATTGAAAAAAGAAGAACGTTTTATAAATTGTTTTATATTGTAGCCCAAGCTTTCGCATTGCCAATTAGCCGCATCTAGGGTATCAGCACGCGTCTTTGGACTTATTCTTGTCCAGTTTAACATGAATAATAAGCTATAAATGTGACTTTTTATATTTAAAATGTTCGTGTTATATAAGTTCAGAACGGGCCTAATGCAGAAAACATTCCATATACATCCGTGGTGTTTGCTTTCTTGAACGCGCATCGTTTGTAGCTTTCAAACGAGTGCAAACAGTTTGCAAAAAACGCAAATAATGATCTATAAACACCATTTTAGAAGAAAATTTTGTGAATATTATTTTAAATAGTCATTTTACAAAAGTTCAAAACAGCCTTATGCAAAAGTTATTGCATGTACATCCATGGTATTAGCTTTGTTGAACGCGTCTTGCATGGTTGAACTATAAATCTACTAGTTCAACCATGGCGTCTTGTTCGTAGCTTTCGAACGAGTACAAGCAATTTGCAATTAACAAGAATGAACATCTATAAATAAATATTTAATTTGAAAAAATCTTTTTCCATATTGTAAAAACATGTTCATTTTAAATATTTTTAAATTGCTTTACGCAAAAACTAGAGCACGCACGTAAATGCGGTTTGCTGCGTTAGACGTGCATTTTCAACAGCTACAAAATGAGCCCAGAAAATAGAAAAGTCAAATTTATCGATTTATTTACCCAGACGCTCCCATTGATCGCTCTGGTCAGAAGGCTGTAAAACCTTCCGCCCTGAAGGAAAACAAGCTCTACCGAACTAATGTCATAATACTTTGTATGATATTGCGTATTGCGGTGCGACGATGAGACACTCGCTGACGTTGAGTTCGAGCGCGTATTATAACTTTCCCATTGCATGAAAATGGATGACCAAATCCTTTTCATGCAATAGGCAAAATGACCAAAAAAATATTTTTGTCCAAAAGGATGACTAAATGACCAACGGATTTTTTTTTCATTAAGGTGTTACTCGTAAAATGCTGAGAAGAAAGCAAAATGAGTTAGTTCAGGAAACTAAAGTTTTTATTTGCGTTGACTAATTCTGAATGCAAAAATAGCAGGTTTTCCATCCAATGAATCTAACATCCTGAATACTTTTCAGCATTCAAAGAATTTAACCCAAAGAATCTTCTTGTAGCACGAGAGTTTTACCGTGTACAATTGTACACGAAGCCTTCATTTCAAAACTTAACCGAGCAGTGAACGTTTTAACTCAATTTTTCCTTTGCACAAGTCAAAACATTCAAACTTTAATTGCATTTATCTTTCCACAAAATATTCGTACGCTATAACGAGAGTTAATCTGTCCATCATTAGACATGACCTTGATGAAGTTGATCGAAGGAAACGTCAGGTAAACTGGAGCTGCACGAGCGTTCCTTGCTTGATTTTCAACGAGTTAATCTTAGTTGATAAGACTTAACTGCGAGCGGAGTACGCTGTAGTCGTCGAGCCAAGGTCCATATCAGGGACTGCATTTCCTTATAAGTTGTGAGTCGCGAAACATTACAAGGATGTGCAAGTGCAAATTTCCCCGACCACTTTATAGTAAACTTCTAAATTTCATTTCATATTTTCGTAAAAGAGTCGTTTCGCCATTCATGTATAAACTGACCACCGATTACAAATATAGAATATTGATCGCGTTCATCTTCGATATTATTCTTGGAATGCATGCACAAACTCCGTACAAGAAATCAAACGAGTACACAATCTCCGGATGACAGGAAATGGAACTGAGGCTAACTTGAGTGGAAACAATAAAGATAGTCTTCTGATCCTACCTCGGAAAAGCCATCACTAAAACTACGCGTTGCGATGGTTCCTTTACGTTGAAAAATTCCTTACACAACGAAACCTGACTATTCACGTCAGCAGAAACGTTCACATGAGCTGTAATAACGGCGAATTCCAGGAGCTCGTTGATCTGCTAGCCAACTGTGAGCACAACGGCAGCCAATCACGAAGATGATAGTGAGAATGTCGAAATTAAATGATACCATCGATCGACCGATTAAATTTTCGAGCATTCCGCGGCTTTTTGGCACAGGTTTGAATCTGACAGATGAGTGCTTAAAAAACTCAATCGCTAGTACGAAACTATAGCTGGTAGGATCATGAAACATGTTTAGAAGGATGCGACAGTGAGGTGCATGAGCGCTTTAGATTTAGGCTTAGAAGCGTTTTACGCTCCTCACTTTGTACAGCTGCCGCGACTCAAAAAAAGTGTCGATCGCTGTTCGTGGTCTCATCATCACCAGAGCACGTAGATTTGTCAAAGTTTCACATTCCTTTCACGGCGTTTGCTGCATAAACTCAGAGCTGGGAACACTGAAAAGGAGTTCGAACACTTTTACCGTTTAAGCAAGTTTTGACACCAGCAGGGCATGTTGAGTAAGCGCTCTTTTAGCTGCACGTGTACGCACATGAGGGTTTCATAACTGAGTAAGAGTCGATGATCTTGTTATAGTCTCTGAGACTGTAGGGTAGAAAAAGGCAGGGCCGTAGATGATCACATCGCAACAGTAAAAGAAGGATAAGGATAATACAAATTTTTTATTAATTTCACACAACAAAAACAGAGAGCAGGTGCAGTGAGCTGAACATTAGGCATGAGTTCAAAAACAAAAACTGAGCATGAGGCCTGGGCTCAAAGCTACGCAGAAGGCATGATGAGCTTAGAAGCTTCACCGATGGCATGATGAACTCAAATGCTGCCCTGGTGGTGCGAGATTAAAATCTAAGCCTACGTCGTACTCCGACCTATGGTACCGACACGACAGACCAAGTACCTGTTCAGACAGACATCTGAGACAGACACGACAGTCGGAGCACCTGCTCAGACAAGCCCAAAAAGTGCGCTCATTGGCCGTCACACATCGAACAACTTAGAACTGCTACAATAAGACGAGCCTTCAGGTCGCTTTGGCAACGCTGAATAACTTCAAACACTAAGTTTATTTGAGAGCGATTACATAGTCCTCTTCTGTAAAGTTTCAAGTCAGCAGGCCAATAATAGAAAGTAATATTGACAAACAATGACGCAAAATAGACATTCTTTTACGTTTCGAGCATATGCGAGCTTCTACTATAGAAATGAAGACCTAAGAAAGAAATGAAGTCGCTCACAGCTGCCGAATGTTTGCTGGATTGATGCTTAAGATTGTACTTAAGAAGAAACTCGCCGGTTGCCTTATCTGAACGTTCACAATCTTGAGGCTTTTACTCTTTTTCAAGGAACAATTTGAAAAAGGACCAAAAAATGTAATGAAAGAAGCGACTATTTACGACGAATGTGAGGGCGACGCTAGCAGCTCAGCTACGGACGTGGTGCTGGCAGCTATAGACGCTGTGCTCCAGCTACAGAGGCAGCGCTGGCACCTACAGACGTGGTGCTGGCAGCTACAGAGGGAGCGCTGGTATTATTTTGCCAGCACATGTACCGAAGCCGACCCTGTAGCCCGGCCCCTGGCAGTAGCCCGAGATGATGACCTCGTCGCCGTCCTGCAGGAACTTCCTGGTCCGCCCCGCACCGACCGCCACCTCCCGACTGCCCCGCCACGACAACTCCAGCATCGACCCCAGCGAGTCGTCCGTCTGTGGCAACTCGGCATCACTACCACGGCTCACTTCAATACAACTTGGCATCACTACCACGGCTCACTTCAATATAGAAGCTTCACCGACGACATTATGAACTCAAAGGCTGTCCAGGTGGTACGAGATTGAAATCTAAGCCTACGTCGTACTCCGACCTATGGTACAGACACGACAGAGCAAGCACCTGCTCAAAGACAGGCATCTGAGACAGACACGACAGTCGGAGCACCTACTCAGACAGGCATCTGAGACAGACACGACAGTCGGAGCACCTGCTCAGACAGGCATCTGAGACAGACACGACAGTCGGAGCACCTACTCAGACAGGCATCTGAGACAGACACGACAGTCGGAGCAGCTGCTCAGACAGGCATCTGAGACAGACACGACAGTCGGAGCACCTGCTCAGACAGGCATCTGAGACAGACACGACAGTCGGAGCACCTGCTCTGACAGGTCCCAAAAAGTGCGCTCATTGGCCGTCACACATCAAACAACTTAGAACTGCTACAATAAGACGAGCCTTCAGGTCGCGTTGGCAACGCTGAATAACTTCAAACACTAAGTTTATTTGAGAACGATTCTATAGTCCTCTTCTGTAAAGTTTCGAGTCAGCAGGCCAATAAAAGAACGTAATATTGACAAACAATGACACAAAATACGTAAATAATAATGACACAAAATTCATTTACGTTTCGAGCACGTGTGAACATTTTACTGTAGGAATGAAGACCTAAGAGAGAAATGAAGCCACTCACAGCTGACGGATGCTTGCTGGATTGATGCTTAGGATTGAACTTAAGAAGAACCTCGCCTGTTACCGAATCTGAACGTTCACAATGTTAAGGATTTTACTTTTTTTTGGACGAACAATTTGAATAGCATCAAAAAATGTAATGTAAGAAGTGACTATTTACGACGAATGTGAGGGCGACGCTAGAAGCTCAGCTACAGACGCTACGCTCCAGCTACAGAGGCAGCGCTGGCAGCTACTGACGCTGTGCTCCAGCTACAGAGGCAGCGCTGGTATTATTTTGCCAGCACATGTTCCGAAGCCGACCCTGTAGCCCGGCCCCTGGCAGTAGCCCGAGATGATGACCTCGTCGCCGTCCTGCAGGAACTTCCTGGTCCGCCCCGCACCGACCGCCACCTCCCGACTGCCCCGCCACGACAACTCCAGCATCGACCCCAGCGAGTCGTCCGTCTGTGGCAACTTGACATCACTACCACGGCTCACTTCAATACAACTTGGCATCACTACCACGGCTCACTTCAATACAACTTGACATCACTACCACGGCTCACTTCAATACAACTTGGCATCACTACCACGACTCACTTCAATACACAGCGATACTTACTAGGTACATCTAATTGCCAGAGTCAAAAATTACTACTGTTTTGGGTACATTTGATCGCCTGATTCTCAAATTAAAATAAGTTTTAGGTACAATTAATTACCTGACTCGGAAGTTACTATAAGCTTTCGGTAATTTTGATTATTTGGCTCGCAAATTAAAACAAGCATTAGGTACATTTAGTGCCTGAGTGGGGCATTAAAATTTAATTTTGAGACAAAGACAGTACAAGTAATATGTATCGCATCGGTCCATCAACCTTCTTCTTATGTAGTAAATCATCAGAATGAAACACGCTAGTAGATTCAAAATTAAAATATAATTCGAAGCTTGCCTCCCACAAGATCAAATAAATACCGTGTATCGTGGAACTTGACAGTGCTCTCTTTTTAGCGCATTTTCTCATTTATGTTTGACCATAAGCTGGCACTGACCGGGCCTGAGATGGTGCCGGACGCGAGGAGGTCGCCGGGACGCGTGTTGCAGCCGTTGACGGTGTGGTGCACGAGCTGCTGCTGCAGCGTCCAGTACATGTAGCGGAAGTTGCTGCTACACACACGCACTGCATCACCGCCTTCCTTAGCTGCCAGCAACACAAATTTCAGTCGCGTGAGTTCTCATGTGCAAATGAACTTTCGAAATTGCCTGCTAATATTCAGTCAGGTTAGTTCTCGCATAAATTTACATTCGAAAAGACCTGCTAATATTACTTAATCATATACAATACTTTTAGCATAAAACAGAGTATTTTCGTTTGTCGGCTTGCAGACACAATTCTCATGAAGAACAATCGTTGCTTACGTGATAACAACAATCATTAACCACTCAAGCATAGTGTAGAGTTTTCCATTATCATAAGTTATCAAGAATTTAAAAGCAACGAAAATAATCAGAAAATTCACCATGTCTTCTAAATGATATTTGAGTTGAGATAATTATTCCGATGATTGAGTTGTCAATTATCACGCGATTATAAATTAAAAAAAATTCGTCCGCCAAATTAAAATTATATTTGTCGGACGAAGCCACCATGGCGGATGCTCACGTTTAATGGCGACCTCGAGCGCGATGTCCAAGTTGTTCTTGTCCTGCTGCTGCAGGTAGGGCAGAACTGGCGGCTCCTGCGCATAGTTGTCAACTCTGAAGGGCTTGAGGGCGTCCATAGTCACCACCCACGGGGAGATGGTCGTGCCGAAGTTTTTCCCTAGAAAAGGTCCAAGGGGAACGTACTCCCACTTCTGGATGTCCCGAGCTGCTCGAGCAGTTATCTCATCAGGGCATTGACAGCGAGAGACTTCTCTTGCACGATCCCACACATATACTCATGATTATACACCCCAACCCCAACTAACAAAGCATGGTCTATCTAACCCACATAAATCTGCCCCCATTCCGTTTTCCAAACCATTTTGGGAATAATCCTCTACCGCGCTTTTCCCCAGCCACAAGAGAGGAAGACAGTTACAGGAACAAACATAGTTACTTGACGGCACACACGCGTCACTACGCAAAACACATCTCAGATCAAATAATACCAGCACCATAGTTTTCGAGCACGCACTGAAGTAAGCATGGCATCACTGCACTTCCAAATATCAACCACATTGCATATAAATGCATCCATTATGGAGAAACTACAAGATCTCTACTACGTCAACTAATTTATGAGTCAAGCTCTCCTGCAACAGCGGTTGTAGTGACCGTCGATGAGAGATGCGGATGCATGGCACCGATTCTTAAAGCGCTCTCATTGTAATACGAGTCGAATTTTTTTCTGGCAGCGATTATTTTTACGTAATCTGATATTTAAGCAACCCGTTGTTGCCGAACTATCAATGACGAATGAATTTAATAAAAAATTCATATTGTTGTCAAGTCGCTGCCACTCACCGCTCCAGTCACTCACTGTTACCAAGTCGCTGCCACTCACCGCTCCAGTCACTCACTGTTACCAAGTCGCTGCCACTCACCGCTCCAGTCACTCACTGTTACCAAGTCGCTGCCACTCACCGCTCCAGTCACTCACTGTTACCAAGTCGCTGCCACTCACCGCTCCAGTCGTTCATGAGAACCATGCCGAAGATGTGGTCGTTCGCCTGTTGCATGGTGATGGGCTGGCCGAGGTCGTTGCCAGGCCCCGTGAAGAAGGCCATCTCGAGCTCGAAGTCGAGCAGCTTGCAGGGACCGAACACAGGCGGCTGGGACTCGTCGGGGCGAGTCTGTCCTGCAGGGCGGCGGATGGGCGTCCCTGATACGACCACGCTCGACGCCCTGCCGTGATAACCCACAGGCAGGTGTCTCCTGGAACCGTGTTAGAGCCGTATTAGAGCCGTGTTGGAGCCGTGCTAGAGCATGTTAGAGCCATGTTAGAGCAACGTTACAGCCAAGTTATTGCCGAGTTAGAGCAGCGTTACAGCCGGATTATTGCAGAGTTAGATATCAAACAGGTACCAAACGAGAGATAAGCTGTACGTTTCTAATATAGGTAGGTACCAAGGCTGAGCGCATGCCTATGAACGAGTCGCGTGTGTCAACGCCGAGCGAGTCTCAAAATCTGGCGTAATATTTCATTTCAGAGATAATATTGCACACTAAATTGTAAACAACTACTTGCAGGTCAGTAACTCTTGGAACTTACATTAGATAGAGTGAACGTAAATGGAAGTATATATAAAAAATTTATAAACAGTGGACGGCATGTAAGCGATGGAAGGCATATGAACAATTCTCATGGCATTGCACCTGGAAGAACACACCTGCTACGTATTGTCCCAAAGCCAACGAGAGTTGGTCGTTAGAGCTCGCGGCGATTGCTCGCGGAGATTGCGTGAAACAGCAAAACCGCAACCAAATAAGGTTAATCGAACAAGCAAATGTGAACATGCTAACTCACCGTGGAGGATGATGGCATAACATGCTGGGCATGAGTGGGCCACACTTGAGGGCGTGAGGGGGCCACATGATAGGGACAGCTTTGCATGAGGCCACTGCATGCGGGTTGGGCATTAGGGCATAACCAGTTAGGCATGATGCCACTGCCAGTTAGGCATGAAGTCATTACCAGTTAGGTCAGAGAGCATTACCAGTTAGTTCAGAGGGCATTACCAGTTAGACATGAAGTCATTACCAGTTAGTTCAGAGGGCATTACCAGTTAGTTCAGAGAGCATTACCAGTTAGTTCAGAGGGCATTACCAATTAGGCATGAGGGCGTTCTCCTTGCCCCTGAACATGATGCCCACGTTGGTGGCGTGGTGTATGGAGGAGTAGAAGTCCGTGTAGTCGCCGATGTCCGCTGGCAGGTGCATCGTGACCTCCGACTGCGGCACCAGCGCTCTGCCAACAACACCCTCTTAAATTGACATATTCTTTATACGTTGTAACTAATTTATCTTCAATTATTTGAAGCTTAATGACATTCTTCAATGGGATCATTGACTGTTAGTGCGATTAATCATGATTTAATTTAAAAAAATGCTAAGATCTTAGCTGCCCGTTTATTTTAGACACTCAAGCAGCGTTTCAGTGCAAACTGCACCACTGCAGCAGACAATAAGCCAGGTTATTATAGTTTAGCAAATGTTATTATAGTCTCTGCAACCAACATCTTCTGCCAGGCAAGATAGACGGCACTACAAGTAGGCCTAAGTGGCATGTGACTTTAACCACTATCCTGAACAGCCGCAAAGTGTCCACCACCTGGTCTAGGCGCCTGCGCCTGGCGTCAGCACCTCTGGCCTGCGCCTGGCGTCAGCACCTATAGTCTGCGCCTGGCGTCAGCACCTCTGGCCTGCGCCCCTTACTTAGCACGAAGGTCGGCGTCGTCGCGCAGAGGTCCTGGTGCATCGCTGAGCAGGGCCTGCAGACGCTGGCGAGCCTCGGTCCACGCGGGCCGCCCGAGCGCCATCAGCTTGTTGAGGGTCGTCTGTGGCAGAGGTGCTGGAAGTCATGTCAGGTCAACAGAGCTGGGCAGCGCTACTTTGAAATGTAGCGGCCGCTACCGCTACCGCTGCATGCTCTAAATGTAGCGGGCGCTACATTGGCTTAAATATAGCGCCGCTAACGCTACTGAAAATGTAGCGGCCGCTACATGTAGCGCGCTACTGCCCACCTCTGGAGGTCAGTGACCGCACTGTCAACAGACGGTTAGCCTCGTTATTAGGATTTTATTTACAACTTACATTGAAAGCAATTCATTTCATTGACATCGTCGTCATGTCATCCGCGAAGAATTTCGAGCAAGATGAGAAAACATTGTGTGTCCTTAGGAATTTAGGAATTGTAATTAATAGCATTTTTTAAATAAGGTGTCTGTCGAATTTAAATTAGAAGTTCTATAGAAAGGAATTTTGTCTTCAATCGTGTATCATATATTATTCTGAAATTTCGTTTTATTTAATTTTAGGTATTATAACCAATTCAGCGAGATACAAAATTTTTAGAACAAAATACAATGGTAAGTTTATCATATTTGAGTTATTGGGTTGCTAAAATCAAACCCCTGATCTATACGAGCGCTGGAGGAAAGAAAGACGCTCTGGTCGAGACAAAAAAAAACATTTTCAAGGTCAATCCAGAGCAAGTGCTACGTGCCTGCAACAAGTGCAGCGCTGGAGCGCAAACTGGCATTGACAGCACAAGCCGGAGGGTAAATGAAGGCAGATGCATCACAGCTGCAATAGCAAGTAAAATACTAGAGCTGACATCTGACCTGCCTGAAGACGTCCTGGTGCGGCCGTAGCACGGGTCCGTCAAAGAGCCCCGCCACCACCGACAGGTCGAGGATCAGCTCCCCGATCGCGACTCCAATGCGGCGTGTTGGCTGATCACAAATAAAAGTTACATTTAGTTACCAAAATATAATACATGATTACATCTATAATGCAATGATGAGGAACTTAACTAGTCAAATTAGCTTTCAATTAACTTGAGAAATAAAAAATTATATCAGTACCCCCTCGAAGCACTTCGACTTCATGTATTAGTCTATTAATTTTCTATGAAATTTTTACGGGGTAACTGACGGCATGGCAACTTCGTGCTTATATACATAAATTGTTTTTAATATGAGTGCAAGCAACGTTCATTTTCATAACAACCCGTAAAGTTTACAAGGAAGAGTGGCAAGTGAACGATATATACATGGCATGAATACGAAAACGGACATTAACCAACTTAAGAAACCGATAGCTCGCTGACATATAGCGAAAGAGACACATTGAAGAATGAGCATTTTGTGCATTAGCAAAGAAATATTTATTTCGCCTAAAAGTCACTTCTCCCTCATAACGGGATGACCTGGTGTATATTTCCTGACTCTGGCCAGCTCTTAGCTTGCATTGACTAACGGTAAGCATTAGTGAGATTCAGTGGCAGATTAATCGACTTTCTTGAGTATTTAATAATATAACTAAGTAATAATAGCGGTTTCAGCGTTTATTAGGCCGTAGGCCTGTCGCCGATTCTTAACATCCCAGAACATTCACAGCTTGTTGCGGTCTCGAACTCGCAACTCACTGCTCCAATTCTGCTCTGCTTAACCGCCCGGCCTCCTCGCCGATTCTGACCAGAAACTGACGCACAGAGCTGGGTTCGAACCCGTGCCTCTCTGCTCCAATCCTGATACTGTGAACTGTAACCACTGGGCCACCCTGCCCAGTTAGCGACAAGAGATGCAGTTTGTCCTGTTTAATTACAATTTGTAAATGTTCTGTTTAATTTGACCCGTGTTTGGGAACTTTCATCGACGAGACCAACAGAGCTAAATCATGGAATGCCGAATATTGCAGATCAATTTTTCGCGTTATGTGTTGCGCCAGCTAGGCTGCTGGATAAGAAACGAATCAGGAAAAAATTAGCAATTCGACAGCGCAGTGACGCATTCTCTGAACAATCAGAAATGAACAAAACATAAGGTAATGATACATATTGCACGCGTCCACAGTTGAAAGCTTTGAGCGGAAGTCACAAGTAAAATTACACCTCCAAAGTAAAACCTGATGGTTTAACTCGATGAAGCAAAAAAAAGCGTTTTTATTATGACGTGTGATGATGTGATACGAGTTACAAACTGTTTGGTAAAGATAGAAGCGTCACATTGCGTGCGTCGAAACGATATGAGAGGAATGAGAAACAACTATTTATTCAAATTTATTTCTATGCAGGATCCTCATGCCTTCAGAAAGGTATTACTCCTACGTAGGCACCAGCCATAGTAACAGCTAATAATCGTCGAGTTTTTAGCATAGCTTTAGGCATAGTAAGAACCGGTTTACATGACAAGAAAATAAGATTAAGTGCAATAAGTGGGTAATATTTATTATACCTAGAACATTAATACACAGTCGGGATAAAATACTCACATTTGAACATGTTGAGAATACGCCGTAAGGCAGATTTTGCAGAGGGAAGTCCGAGTTTGGTTCAACGTTTACAAAAGAAGCCATATTGACACGTGGCACGCTACCTCTACACAGTTGAGTAAAGCACTGGCTCAGTCTGGCTGGTCCCACTCACCCGTCCCAGACTCACATACGGGCTGCGGGCGCCGGAGAACAAACCGCTCTTTCGGATCTGACAGTATACTTCAAGGCCATCCGCATTCTGGCAAGCAAAATGCACTGGTAAAACTGAATTCGTAATACGCTACTAAAATTTGTTTTTGTGATATAAATTACATGCAGATAGAAATACGAATAACCCAAATCAATTTTTTCGAATCATTTTAATAATATTGAATGTTATCTCCGGGAGGAGTAACAGTTGGCAGGTTTACCGAGGGCTAAAGTTCAGCACAAAATTTCAAGCAGTAACTTTATGTTGTATAGAACATAACGTTGGAATGTTATGGAAGAAGTCGTCAGAGTGCCTGGCTGTTTAGTGCAGTGCATATTGGAGACTGGATCGACATTTCCCCGAGCAGCGGGTTACCACTCGGGTCGCTCGTATTTCACAGGGCAGCTTTACGTTTTGATTTCCTGAAATTTAGAGCTTTTTCAATGAAACTGCACACGCCCTTTCAAAAACCGCTTTCATCTATTTTGATGGACAAATAATTTTTCCTTCAACCCATCCATGCATAATATGGGCAACTCATAAACATGTGCCCACATAACTGCTTTCTTCGCCAGATTTTTATTGCCGAGAGGACATCAGCATTCGAATTTTTACGCAAATAAGCTTCCTAGTACAAATTTCTCAATCTTTCTATAAACTAAATTGAAATTAATCCTCTGATTAAAATGACTATTATGACAGAAAACCGAATTTCATTAGTTATGTAAAAGAGATGTTGTAACAACCATGTATATTCGATTCCTCAAGTTACCTCGCAACTCATTTTCTAGGGTTGTAGCCAGCCTAACATAATTTAGCACAGTAAACCGTCTGCTCAAACTTCTTACTTTTGTCCACGACATTTCATTCATCAGCATTAAAAGTAACAACTGTGATCCAAATACTGTTAAATATAAGTTAGCAACGTATCCATTGATTTAGCACTGACTTTTCCCGATATATTATTGGAATTTTTCTTTTTGTGAAACTTATATACATAACTGTCATAGTTTAAGTAATAGGGTCTCCAAACCGTAATTCAGTATAGAAGAAAGAACTCCTCCCGAGTTTCACTCTCCAAATAAAACGCGGTTGCAAGACTCTGGTGCAGTCTGGTGAGACGACTCACATGCCTCAGCCGAACCATAAGGCGTTTCATGGTCATTTGGTACAACCAACGTTAGGTACGAGTTATAATCAGTTAACCCTGGAGGGACTCGTACCGCGCTGCTAGCAGCGACACGTCTTGCCAAGTTAATCCAGCACCAGCGGAGCCCCTGACGTAATTATATCCCCAAATTGTCGTTAACCCACAAATTTAACTAATGTTTTGATTTTGAAATGTGTTCATCATTTTTTCTTTTTTTACGCAAATAAGCTTCCTAGTACAAATTTCTCAATCTTTCTATAAACTAAATAGAAAATAGTCCTCTAATTTGAATGACTGTCATGACAGAAAACCGAATTTCATTAGTTATGTAAAAGAGATGTTGTAACAACCATGTATATTCGATTCCTCAAGTTACCTCGCAACTCATTTTCTAGGGTTGTAGCCAGCCTAACATAATTTAGCACAGTAAACCGTCTGCTCAAACTTCTTACTTTTGTCCACGACATTTCATTCATCAGCATTAAAAGTAACAACTGTGATCCAAATACTGTTAAATATAAGTTAGCAACGTATCCATTGATTTAGCACTGACTTTTCCCGATATATTATTGGAATTTTTCTTTTTGTGAAACTTATATACATAACTGTCATAGTTTAAGTAATAGGGTCTCCAAACCGTAATTCAGTATAGAAGAAAGAACTCCTCCCGAGTTTCACTCTCCAAATAAAACGCGGTTGCAAGACTCTGGTGCAGTCTGGTGAGACGACTCACATGCCTCAGCCGAACCATAAGGCGTTTCATGGTCATTTGGTACAACCAACGTTAGGTACGAGTTATAATCAGTTAACCCTGGAGGGACTCGTACCGCGCTGCTAGCAGCGACACGTCTTGCCAAGTTAATCCAGCACCAGCGGAGCCCCTGACGTAATTATATCCCCAAATTGTCGTTAACCCACAAATTTAACTAATGTTTTGATTTTGAAATGTGTTCATCATTTTTTCTGATGCTTCGTCGCATTTCTGATTATTTATTTCAAATTAATTGCCAGGCAAGTCGCCGTTTCTTCGCCCAGAGAGGTGCGAAGACACGCTTCACTACAGTGTATGCTTCATTGAATGTACCCAATAGATTTAATAGGAAAATAGTCCAACCTTTCGCTTGCATTTTTTTTTTGGTCTTGGCTCCAATTTCACGGCACATGTCCTGACTATTCCTCGCATTAAACTGCAGCGCAATTTATGTGATTGCAAAACTTAAACGGATTATCAACTGTACTATGGTTAGTCGTGAAACTTTTCAAAATAGGTGCTAAACATACAGCAATTTTCCGTAGTTTTTGCTGCGCCTATGTTCAAATATATTTTGTGAGTTTAGCTTTTCTTTATTGATTATAAGTTTACTAGCTAGATTTTTGAGCTGATGATGTAGCTCATGGTTGAACTAGTATATAGTTCAACCATGATGTAGCTAGTCTTAGAAAATTTTTCGATGAAGATTTTGTCAAATTTTATTCGCGTAATGTTTGCTTTTAAATTTTTGGTAAAATCTGCATTTACGCTGACTAATTAAGCAAATATTCTAAAAGAAAGATTCATGCTTGGAAATAACTTTTATTTATATCCTAAAAAACGTTGTAGTTCGCACATCCATGTTTTAGACAACAAATTTGTGGAGGCTACAACACAACAATGTTGTGTGGAAAAAAATTCAGAAATTAAAGTAATGTTCCAGGCTCAATATCATTTCAGATGACGTGACCACAAGAAGGACTAGCTGTTAGCTGCTCAAATCTGTGCGATGGTGACGCGGAAATGGGGGTGTTTATATTATAGGTTTCGCATGCGACAAACTTTCGCTGCTACATGTAAATCAGTTACTCAGCAATATGGGGAAGAAATACGTCACTGGGAACACCAATCATATCCTATACAAATGTAATTATTAAACGGAAATAGAGTAAAACAACAGAAAGGGTTGCCGAGGGGTTAGAATTGAGCAGGTGCGCAGCAATGAGTTGCGTGTATGATCCCAGCTAGCTGTAGAAGAATTGGTCATAATAAAATTGTCAAGTTGGTCCAGTGGTTAATAATTATCAGATTGGAGCTGTACGTTGCAGGTTCAATCCCGCAGTAATCAGTAAACATTGTGCTATGTCTCTTATCGTCAACGGCTGGAATCGGCAAATGTCTTCAGTCGCCTACCGTAGTCGACAAGGATGGATCGAATGCCTTTCCTGAGCTTCGCTCAAATTTAGTGAAGGACTGTAATATCGTCCCTAGTAATGCACATAGGCTGAAATGCAGCATGATGATTCACTGTAGGTGATGAACAACTAGATGCATGAGCAAGAACTTTGGCTAAATCAGTCAATTAAAGAAGTCCTCTTTGTACATTTTTGGAAAGATGTTCCTCCAGAAAAACTAAGATGGTTGTGATTTTATGAATTACGCAAGTTTCTTCAAAAACAGACTAGACGAAGCTATGCAGGAGCATATGTTCAGTCTTAAAATACCCAGCAAATTACGGACCAGCAATAAGTCCAGCAGCTATCTCAATCAATCATCAGTTATGTAAAGATCGGGTTCCAAAGGCCGGATCCCTTGTGAATCTAATCACGAAATGTTCAAGAATCGGCAACAGGCCATGGGCCTATTTCTTCAATGCCGACACTTCTATTCAATTCTATTAAAGTTTATTGCTGACTATTGGGTTCAATTAAAGTTGTTTCGTTCATGAACTAACGTTGACTCGAAATTTTTTTTTGTTTAGCTGATTAGGTAGGACTTTCCCCAGTCCCCGTGCGTAAAGTGCATATTGACAGCGACAATCTTTTAAAGTTATACCCTGACAACGACCAGCAAGCGACATAACTGCGTGAGACCAGAGTTTTGCTAATTTATTTGATTTTATATATTCCTACAAATTAATGCTGTTGTTAAATAGGGCTGTTTTTCTGATTCAACAGCGAATATTATTTTAGCTACATTTCATTCAAAGTATCTCATATGTTGACGGAAAAGCTATATTTTCATCATCAACGTTTGATGGATTTCAAAGACGTGAAACAGGAAAACGTAATTTAAATACAATTTTTCAATTTTTTAATCACATATTTCTAGAATTTTGATTATATTTATACTTCAACAGTCAAGATTTATGCTATTCATACTTCAGGTTCGGTAGTACGAGGTACGGAGCCTTTGCCGTAGTGTTGTTCTTATCGGTAATTGTTGTGTACAAATTTCGGCAGTCGAGTTTTACTTGGTGCAGTGGACGTTGGACACTATGGACAGTCGATAAAATTCCCGCAACTCGGTAGAAGAAAAACAATTTTTTACCTCCTATGGTCAAAACATGGCGGTGCAGGGTGATGTCGGGACGAAAGATGAAGTCAAGACCCAGTTCAATACAATTGAAGGCTTATACAAAGTTGTGCCACTATCTGAATATAGCAGACCGAATAGATTAGCATACAATAACACAGGTGGGGCTGCTTCAAGCCCTCCTGTTAGACTATCGTTTGCTGGCTCTCCTGAAACTGGTGGTGGTGCGAACTCTATAAGTGAGGATAGAACTAAAATTTGTTTCAATTATGGTAGAGATCTTTTTGTGTATTCTTATAGAGGAATAAGAAAGGCAAGTACCTAAATGAAGGAATTATTATTTGACTAAAAAATGCTATTTTTTGCACATACATATTTTTTTTATTTTAATGCATTTATTATACTGTTTGAATTTATTGTTTACATTCCAATGATTTCCATAATATCTTGTTGAAGTTATTTTAACCCTAGGCCTAAGTTAGTAAGTGGAAAATTGGGCAGAGCTGCCGAAGCAACCTATGAATTGCCAGAAT